AGTTTTATTTATATATATATATATATATATATATATATATATATACAGGGTGTATTAAAAGTCTGGAAACAGTCGAATATCGAAAAAGCATAGCATTTTTGCTGATGTCTCAGCTTCGGCGATAAGAAAGGCAAACGACGATGATGACGACATAGATCTATTTGGTTCAGATGAGGAAGAGGATACAGAAGCTGCAAAAATCAGGGAAGAAAGATTAAAGGCGTACGTGGAGAAAAAATCAAAAAAGCATAATTATTGCCAAGTCGAGTATTGTTGATTATATTAATTCAAAGTTAATTTAATTATAGCTCGAAATAAGCCATGACATTGCGTTAATTTTTAAGATCGTTTTTAAACTCTACAACTTTGTCTGAAACATTTTTCTCAAGAATACTATGCTTTTTCAAGATATTCGACCGTTTCCAGACTTTTGATACACTCTGTATACATACACAGATGCGAGCACGCATACTTGCATAAATTATATATATTTTTTACATTATATATTATATTACAATAATTTATATATATAATATATAATATAAAATATAAAAGAAATGTGTATGTTATATTATACATATATATTATATGTATATATTTATACCATATGTATTTATATGTATAAATAATATATATTATATATATTATATAAACAAACATGGAAAACAAATATATGCAATTATTGGCAATTTGTGCTTTTAACAGAATATGTTTAAAAGAAAAAAAGAAGAAAAGCTTTCATAGATGAATATAGGGTGTCCGGTAAAGACCGTAGCAACGCTTAAAAGTAAATTCTTGAGTTTATTTTAAGACAAAAATTCTAATACAATGTGGTTTAAAACAAAATCAATATCAACCACTTCTGATCGCGCGAATTTTAGGCGATATGATTCGCTGACTTTAAATGCTTATAATTCAAAAACTATTATAGCCCTGCATTTTGCAAGTATTCCCTGGCGAAAATTTTTTTCATAATTTTTATACGAATTGGAACATTTTTCAGAAATACTCAGAAAAATTCGGAAAGTTTACATCTTCTCTCAGAATTTTTCATACAAGTGAATTCTGAAGTTTCTCTTCTCATAATTTCCCATAATAAAAAAAATATTTTAAAATTTTTTAGATTTTATAACATTTACCAGAAATTATACTTACAAAAAATCTTAGAACTCTTATGATATTTTATAATTAACATATATGAAAAATTCTGAGAAAAGAGATGTAGATTTTCTAAAAAATGTTCCAATTCGTATAAAAAATGCGAAAAAATTATGAAATTATATAGAAATTCTAAAAAATTATATAGAAATTCTGAAAAATTATATGAAAAATTTTTATGAGAAAAATTATGAGAAAAATTTTTATCAAGATTAGGATTATCATCTCAAAATAATCTCAGGAATTTACCTAGGAGGTAAATTAACGAATTGTCTCGAATTTTGCGGAACATCCCGATTTTCGGATCTCTAAAACTTTAAAGACATTCCGAAAAAATGCCATTTGTCCTAATTTATCATATAATGTAAATTCATTAGTATATTTAAATAACGTGAAGAATCCCAATATTTTTTTTATTTTAAGATTGATCCCGGAATTGGCTGATTAAGATGGCCTTAGTTATTACGGTCTTTACCAAATATCCGGTATATAAATATTATAATGAATGTAACTGAGAAAAAAAAGAAATAAAGTGCGACGGTAGAATAATTGTGCAATAGTCAGAAATTCCGTCTCTCTTTATTTCTTCTTCCATTTTCATCATATATTATTAAGTATAGTTGGGAGAAATGAATTTGTTCTACAATAAAACCGCAAATTCTTTTTGGGAAACGTCAATTTGAAATTATTTTGAATAGCATTTGTAGATGTTCGATCATGTTGACACTTTATAGGTAAATGCGACAAAAATGTCACGTGTAGCTATTGCATTTATAGCTCCGCAAAATTTCACATCGAGATATATTTGTTACTGCAATATATTTATAATAATACTCAAAGATTTATATCTATGAGACATATAAAAACAAACATTCGTATTTCTTCGGTGATTTTATATATAAAATCTTAAATTTAATTTCAACTTTTATACTTAATTCATATTGTAATTGTAAAATTATAAACTCTTTGATCTTTAAATTTTTTACTTTTTAATATCTTGTCAATGTTTTATTTATACATATATTTACACTTATAAAAAGATTTCATTGTTTTGCTTACTAAAAATAAATCAATTCCTTTTTAATTCCTTTTTTATTAACAAGATGTAGGAACAGTGATGTGTACATATACTTAGCGTACGCATTTTATCGCTAAAAACTCACATTAAATTTTTTCACTTTAAATGTGAAATCTTCAAATTGTAAAATGAGTTTCAACTCATATTATTAAAACCATTTAAGAGAAAATTACATAATATTTATGCTATTTATCTATACAACAATCTTTGGTACATAATCACGTAGAAACGTTTATAGATCTTTAAAATAGCTTAATCAGCATCTTAATTATCTTTATGTTTCATAAAAGTTATTATATATCTATACATATTTTATACATATATATATTATAAATTTTATGAGAAAAAACGGTATAAAATGATCGTGCTATTTTAAATTTTCTATTAATTATAAGCCATTTTAAAGATCCATAAACATTTATACATATATGCATAATGTATATATTATAATGTATATGTACACATTATATGAATGAAGAATAAAACGTGCAAGTAATTGTGCAAATAATAAATATAACAATATGAAAATATAATGATATATACAATGTGAATCAGAGTAGTTAAACCAATTTCTTAGGTTGATATATCTGAGTACTTCATACACTGAATGATTCAATGTATAGAATATCATACACTGAATTTCATACTGTGTGATATTTGGGATCCTTATGGTAGACTTCTGCTCTGAACCACCATATCTTCTCAACCTATTTGACTTATTTTATTTTCAGAATTTATAAGATCTAACTAAAAGAAGTTACGGCAAAAATTAAAAAAACTGTCCCCATTCAATTGATAGTTCATCTCAGTTACAATCGCAGATTAAGATCTGCACTTTCTATAAAAATCTCAAATTGTTGTAAATATGCAACAGAAAGAAGTGTTTTCGAGGGACAGCGCAAAAAAGATAAGACCACAATTAGAAAATCTGTAGAAAAAAATCTAATGAGTCAAAAATAAGCTCTTCAACATCAAAATTTTTGAAAATTATACCTATCGCATATTATTAGTAATGACACTTGTGATAATGAATTAAATTCTGATTTCTACATCAACTTATTCGAATAAAAAATCATTTTCTTATTTAAGACATTTAAAAAGTTATTTTCGATCGAGACAAAAACATTTAAATCATATTGTTGTACACTCATCGAGAAATTATCAATAATTTAAATATGGAGGAGTTCATTATCGATTTCATTAAAAAAAAAAAAATTAAATTAGAACAACTACTTTTGTCACGTAAAAAAATATATGAGGAAATATATTTATCCCCTCCCCCCTCTCCTCCCTCGCAATCTTCGGGAACTTCATACACTGAAAAATTTTATTTCTCCTGATAGACATCGTGCGAACTGTTGGTCTGAACGCAAAAACAGGTATGTTTGACATTAAGTTGTGAAAATGGTTTTATTTTTATTATACAAAATTATTAAAAATATGCCTTTTTTTCAGTTCACCCAAACCAGCAATTCACATGTATTCACGCATCTGATCTGTATCGCTAAGTCGATAATTAGATATAAAGTCAATAATTTTCTCGTAAGGTAAAAAAGTAGTTCAATTACTCTGATTCATCCTGTATATGTATGTATTAGGATGTTCCAGAAAAAACAAAAGTTCTTATTAAAAATCCCAAAATTTTTATAAATAAATCGAATATTATCACTGAATTATAATACAACTGGAACGTGCATTATCATGCTAATGCATTAGTTGAAAGAGTGTGGACATGGAAAAACGTGGACATGGAAATTAAAATGGGCAATTCAAATTGGAAGTCGATTATTTTAAATGAAACATAATATTGTTTTTGTTACATATTCATGAATAAAAAAATCATATTCTATTAAAAAAATATCAACTTCCAGTCCGAAATTTGTTTATTTTTATTTGGAACTGAAGAAAAACAAAAATATTGTAAAACAAAAATATAAATATATTGTTTTACTCGATTTACTTATTAAAATTTTGGAATTTTTGAAATAAAAACTTCGTTTTTATAAATGGATGATGCGAATGGTCTGGGACATCTTGAATACATATATGTATGTATATGTATGTACATACATATGTATACATGTGTGCGTGTGTGTATGTATTATTTCGATATTATTTATCTGTCATCTTAAATCTTCAGTCTTAATTAATTCGCACGTATAATATTACTCTCCATATCATAAAGCATTTATTGCAACAAAATTATGAGATAAACAAAAACAGCGTTCGTCCGCATGTGACACAGCCATGAATATATTCGAAGAACATGCTACATCAAGCATTGTTATGTCATTTTATCTTTATCGTTTATTAATCGTACAATAAGGACAGAATGATATAAGAGTGCTGATAGTGCGCTCTCCAAACACATTCAATATATGATGACAGTAACAATTACTGAATTGAAACTGGTGGGAATCACGAAGTGTCATATAGTTTTGTACATTATCCGTATACCATGTATTACCGTACTGATAATTCAGAGAAGATCGATTATAGTACAATGGTGGTATCATTTGACTATGTGGTGGTGGATTCAACCAGGGTCTATGAAGGTGCACCTCGTTTTCGTCATTCAATGCTATTCCTGGGTCCGCAATGATCGGTTCGAACAGATTTGCGGCAATTCGCCTAACATCATTGCGTGCGTCATTGTCCGTGTTACTTTCGATTTCACGTCTTAGTCTTTTCGATTCCTGCGTCAAGTTTTCCTCACTACTCACAAGACTACTCCGTTCGCTTGAGACGTGATTCGAATCGGAGTCGGAGAAAGAAACGCTGCCCCTCTCATCATCCGCGCCGTTGGAACCCAATTGAGACTGTTGATCGGATTGCTGATATTTGCGCTTGAATCGTGACTGTCCCGTCTCGCGAAAACCTTTTGCGAATGGATTATTATTGATCTTCAATTTCGTAATGTTTTCGTTCTGCAAAAAGATCACAAACGTTACGTTAGACGCAATGAACACAAAGAAACATATATTACGGTTAGATAGCCTACATTTTGAAAAAAACAATTTTCAGATGTGTAAAAAAATAATAAAATGTATAATAATAATTGATAAAGAAAGAAAAAAAAATAAGTATATGTAATAATTAAAATATATAATTATAATTAAAATATGTAACTTTTTATAGTCTTAATTTTTCACGGTCGAATTTCTATGGTTCATCCTATTTTTCGTAAATGAATGAAAATAAAGTATTTTGTCTTAATAAAAGGCTGATTTAATATGAATCAACAAATTTGTATTACTTAGAAGAATTTATAAAACTTTTAAAAATTTTTTATCAAAAAAATTTAATCGATTATAATTATACAGATTCAAATGCTTGAAGAATTACATTAAGCTACTGCAATGCATTTTAGCATTTTTCTCGATATATGAAAGATTATACACAAAAGATTAAATTACACAGTTATTAAAATGTAAATGTTTCAAAAGAAATAACGAATTTCGTTTTTAGATTTTATTTTATAACACTTACTTGATATGCTGTTACAGCAATAAATTCCGTCTCGTTGAAAATGAATGACGCGGCTGGATGAGAAAAAAGCTCATTATAACTCGTCGCATTGGTGCAACGAATTATCCAGAGTTTAGGAACGTATTTGTGCATTGATGTTAATATTGCCTGTAATATCAATTTTTTTCTTAAATTATTAACTTTTAAAAAATAATAGATAATTAAAATAAATAATTAATACATAGATAATTAAAAAGCGATTTTCTATCATACGTCGTTAAAATTAAAATCAGCAATTTTAGAAGTTCATTAAAGTTTATTAAATTAATTATTTGAACTATTAATTAATTGAACTATTATTGAACTATTAATAATCAATATTTTATAAGATATTTTTTTTACGTATGTTTAAACGATGTGATTTTTTTTATTAATTAAAAGCTATAAAAGACTGAAAATATATATGAAATATATATTATATAAATGAGTTTTACTCATTAAGAATTTGTATTTTTGACTGTTAAATATGAAAAAAATCTCTGTTATACAGTATCTGCATAGCGAAAGATGATCCTGGAGGAGAGAAGGAAGAGAAGTACGAAAGAAGAGAGTCTTTCTGTTAGTTACAGATGGGGGTGGAGAGGCGGAAGGAGTGGGACGAAACGCTGGGAATTTTATTAAATTCGTAATTAGTTTGAGGAACCGGGTAAAAGGGGCGCCGCTTTTTCGAGATAAGTTGGCGCCTCTCTAAAGAGGCCGACGGTAGACACAGACGCGATTCCCGAAAACCAGACTAAGCTCTGCAACCTTCTCGGAATCACATGTCTCCGCGCCACCGAGAATCTCTCGTATGAATCAAGAGCAAAATGCATCACTTCAATACGCGATCTGGTAGTCATTACAGTCGATTTCAAGCGGAATATTCATATTTTACATAAAGAGTTATAATTTTAAGTTTCATTATATCAAAATAGGTGTAACATTAAAAATATAATAAATATAATAAAAAAGTAAGGGTACAATAAATTTTACACTCAAAAATCTCAACTTCATCTATTTTTCTTCTGATTGTATAATATATTTTAGATAAAAATTTAAAAAAAAAATTCTATTTAATGAAAACAGAATTCTGTTCAGTGATTTCGGTTTGCTGAATATTTAATAAAAATATTAATTTCTTAATTATTTTTAAAATTTTCAATAGATATAAAATGAATCCTGTTTGAAATGAACTAAAAAAGGAAAGTTACGTTAACTCCCGCGCTAAAACAGAGATTAGTGAAAATTTTTTGCTAAAATTTTGCAATTCAAAATCGCTTATAATAAAAAATCTTGAGGTTCTTTTTATATTCGAACATAATCATTTTTCTAACAATTCTTCATAATCTTTTCTGATTGCCTTCATAAGCTCTTCTGATTAGTTGCTTTAGAGTAGATAGATCATAGAGATTAAATAGATCTTCTTAAATCTCAGATCTGATCTTGCTTGTTTCCTTGTTGAAGGGAAAGGTGACGAAATTGATAAACGCGCAACAATGCGAATCTCTTGTTTGTCGCCGCTGTCTAGCCGCGAACCTTTATGGATTATCGTGACGCTTTTCATGCATGAATCAGCACTAATGGACAATAACGAGGGGCAAAAGTGCCGCCGTGCTTTTGCTCTCCATGCGGATCCTTTTTGCCATCGACAAAGGCAGAAGAGAACCGTAAAACGGCGTCCTTAACACCAACGGCGATGGCGGCAGCTAGGAACTCCATCGGCTCGTAAACAAACTCACTCTCGTTCAGCCCCAGGAAAGGGAGGTATATCGATTACAGGGTGTTGTGGAGCGTGTTAATCTGCGTTCCTCATAGACGCCATCGGTCTCCATAGATGGATCGACCATCGATGTGCCGCACCGTCTTGAGTAGCTTAAGTTTCCCCCGGAAAATGCATCGCCGATCTTTTTTTCTCAGAAATTTCTTTAATCCTCAACCACAAGACACTTTCGCTTTCGAGCGAATTTCGTGAGAGAATAGCCAGAATATCCATAAAAATATTAGAAGTCTTCGAAAATAAATTCTTACGTATACCAAATCAATACATATACCTATATATTTTTTAATAATAAATTAAAACTTGTTTATAAAGAGAGAGAAAGAGAGAGAGAGAGAGAGAGAGAAAGTCATCACTTTTTTAATGTTAGGAAAAATTAATTGTAAGTGTGTTCTTATATCACAGTTATCCCATAAGAGACATAGATTGTATCACTTTTTTGTCTATTATCTAGTTATTATAATGTACTTATTATCTAAAGATATACATAAAGAAAATAGAAAAAATAGAGAGAAGGAAAAAGTAAAAAGGAAACAGGAAATATTGTAGCGCCTTACAAATAATTATTAATACCCACTTCCATCAATGTGTGTAGATTAACTTTAATCTACATTGGTGGAAACGCATAATTGAGTTAATGCTTAAAAAAAAATGAATCGAAATTGAATTAGATAAACGAGCTAACGATTTCTTCGTACATTACAAAAGGGAAAAGAAACGTAATATGAACCAGAACAGCGGAGATGGGAGTGGAGAATGAGGATTTTTAAAAACATTTCAAAGCTGTCAAAACATGGAAGAACTAGATAAATGAGCGACGGCCACTAAATTTTTCTCCTTCTATTTCCTCCAAGGGATTGTCTTATCCTTCGTTTTCAATACGTATTTATCTATTATCTTTCTTTCTCTAAGGGATTGTCTTATCTTTCGTTTGCAACGTATTTCGTTTGTACGTATTTCTCTATTTTCTTTTGTGCACCGTTTTATGAGATAATTGTGTAGCAAGTATAATTATTAACTAAATATTATCTGTGTTACAATACCAAATGTTTATTAAAAAAATAAAATAAGTTATTTGTTAATTAAAAAATGTATATATTTTATATATACGTATATATGTATTACATATGCAGATTTCCTTTTAATTAACAAATAATTTATTTTATCCTTTGTTCTTTTATATACTGTTATATATAAAATCCAAACTTATAATTAGATGTTTTCATATTTCAATACTTTTAAACTTAGCATACAGGATGATTCAACAAATACTGTCATCTGAAATGATTTATTTCTTATTGATTTTATTAAAAAAAGTTTTATGAAATACATTTGGGACTCTTCGAATGGATGCATTAAAATCTTTTTATGTCTTAAATTTTCTGACGTACGAATAATCTTTGTTTTTTTTTAAGTAGAACAGAATCCTTTTTTTTAGATGTGTAACCTATTTCGTGACAAGTTTATCGATTTTTAGTTTAATATTTTTCGAGGCCAATTATGATTGTTTAAAGTCTTTTATTTTTTTATTAATAAATTTCAAAATAATTTGAAAAATGTTCCATTCGTCATCAGAGTATAGTGCGATAACACTATGATGCTCCTTCTCAAAATGACTTTTGAGTTTGAGAAACATTTTTATCAATATACTTTATCTTTTATAAAGTCCTCATAAGAAAAGAAAATAGTCTGCAAACGTCAAATTCAGAAGGCTTAGTGAGAAGTATAAGATGTCTTACTTCTTCCTATTCAACGACCACAAAACACGTTGAGTGTTTCTCAAACTCGACGGTCATTCTGAGAAGGAGTTCTATTACTCCGCAAACACAATAGAGTAGCCTTAAGTCTTAAAGAATCGACTAATCACAGTTAATTATTCTTCTTACATTCGGTTGTGAGTGATCAATTTCTTAAGACTTACTATTAAGACTTAAGACTTACTATTTATATTTGCGAGGTTATGCTGGAATTCATACTTTGGTGGTGGATGAAATGTCTTCCAAAAGATTTGAAGTTCATTGATAAAAAAATAAGACTTCAAACGATTGTAAATGACCTTGAATGATCTCGAAAGATCAACATTTTAATAATAAATTTGTCTCGAAACAGACTATATGTTTAATTAAAAGAACGATTAAAAAAAAAGATTTAAAAAGACAAAAATTACCTTGATTTATTGGAAAAATTAAAGATAAAAAATCTAAATGCATATTCGACGAATCCCATCAAACAATGTATTTCATATAAAATATTGTTTTTAATAAAATTAATAAATAACTAAAGATAAATTGTTACTTCAAATGGTAACTTTTATTGAATTGTATTGCATACTAATTATAATAAATACAATAATTTATGGGTCAATTCTAAACACAATCGTAAGACTTGTAACGTGTTCTCGCAAAACTTGTAAGTACTTATGACTAATATTCTAATTTTATGCGTATCGTAAGATGTACGATTATTCGTAAATATCTACGATTTCTTGTAAATTTTATGACTAGTAAGAAGCTGTCTGTAAAAATATTGTATAAAGGTACAAGCACTTAAAAATTTTTACAAATCCTACAAGAATATGTTACGAGCTTTACGATTCTACTTAGAATTTAGGCATTAATCAGCGTATATTATACTTACGTTACTCTTGTCATTGACGTTGTTTGTAAGTTTTAATTTGATAAAATTGATCGAATTTTCCATCCAGTGCTCGCCAGTCGCGGGACTGTCGGGATGCTGATAAAGCCTACGGTTTAAGGGATGCTGCGGATCTGCCGGTCCCGCGATGCTCCAGCCACCCACATTGCCATTCTTATTCCCGTTCTCGTATCCGCAGTACTTGTGCCGTTGATTGGAGGCTGGTGCTATCTCCAAGAATACATGATAAATTTCACGCTTTTGCAAACCGTTTATGTTTATTTGCACGTACGGAAACATACGTCTGTAAAAGATAAAAAAAATGTCCCATAAATAATTTATTGGATAACAATAATATTGAGTCAATGAGCTTCAAATTTCAAAATTTCCCTAAATCACAAAATTTGAAGTACTTGCAAAAATATAACAAAAATAATATAATTTTTCATTAGGAGAGAATTCTCCGTAATATTTCTAATTCTTTTCGTAGATAATAAGGAAATTAAAAAAAGAAGACAATATTTTTCTTTAGCTACAAAATGCGTTCGATATGAAAATCAATTTTGGCTGTTTGTGGAATTATTGCAAATCAACCCCTAAAACGCAGCACTACAATCATTAGACACGTATCGTAATTTAATCCCTGTAGTTTTTCTTCCCCTCCTTCAAACGAAAATAAAGAAAAGAACAGTTGAGAATTACTATTATAAACTATATAACGTCACGAATTAGTGAACATTCCTCTGGTTGAAGTTAATAAATATTTTTGCTTTTTTAAAAAAAGAAATAAGCTTCAATGACCTTATTTTAAAGTAGATGAATTAATTTATGGCTTTTCTAATCAGAATTCAATATAATGTTAATCTTTGTTTATAAAAAAATTCAAAATATATTAGAGAAACCATTTTTAATGCATAAAATTTAATTTTTTTCTTAAATCTGCTAATAAAATTTGATTTGCAGCGTCATTTACAGAATTCAAAAATCTGTAAGAAACACCTTGCCAGGTTCAAAATCATTTTAGCTGTAAACTAGTGTTATCTATCAATGACATAAAGTGTTGGAAATGACGCATAGCCATTTTGTAGATAACTTTTACTTCGAAGACTTTTGACGCTATTGAAGAAAAGGTCTCATTTCGTGCAGGTAGTATTCGCACTCTCTCGAAGAACAAAGACCTTCGAAGGTTTCGTTAGTTATTAACGTGCCGGCGACGAGTGGGCGTCGCCGAGAGGACGACGCGTTAAGTCTGCTCCTGTTACTACGCGGGACTTCCATACTCTCACCCTCGTCAACTAGTTTTTCCGGCTGCGCAAATATTTCTACGGTAGGTCAAATCGAGTCGCAGTCCCGTTTGCTTGCCTAATTGCGGTTTTCCTCTACGGCACATTTAGCGTTTGCCTTCGTATCAAGTCGGCAGCTGACAAAGGATGTGGCCTTTACATGCCCGGTCTCCGCCCGGTTTTTGTCATTGTCAATACATTAGCAGGTATAAAAATGGCAAGCTTCGAGACTTTTCTTTAAAAGATGGTGAATCCAGGACTTTTCAATAATGTAGCAAAAAATTTCTGTATGTCGTTATAAATTATCGAATATAGCAATCATATTATCTTTCCTCATTCTTTTGAAATGTACCGTTATAAGAGATTCGTTTTCTTTGATTATTATTGTGACGTGACAAAATCTCGTCTTTTACGTTAAATAATTTTTTTCTCTCTCTTATTATTATTATTATTATTATTATTATTATTTAAGATTTGATCGCAATAATATAATCACGATTGAATGAAAAGAATGATGAATAAAAGATAAATAAGCTAATTTTTATCTAAAAAACGTAACAAAAATTACATGTATAATTACATGTAATCTTATAGTTTTTAAATTGTTGAATACGATTGTAATTTTATTTATCTAAATGAAAAAATTTCATTTATAGAAATACCGAGCGATCATTATTGACACTCCATTTCCACTTTTTAATTAGATTAATAGATTTATATTTCTTGTGTAAGAGATGAAATTCTGAAATTTTTTTTTTCATAATTTATATTCTGATAAAATATTTAATTTCCTATCACTCTCCTTATTTTCATAATAATTCGCTTGATTCTTTTAGTGAATAAAAAATGTTGATACCTTTGGCCTTACTTTTTTAAAATTTGAAAAAAATAAGTAAAGTTCTGATTGTCCTCCCCAAAGAGTTTCTACAGTACAGTTTCTAGAGTTCTTTATCAATTTTAAAAAAAGTCGATAAAGCGGTGAAAACATCATTTTGATCAGGTCATTCATTGTTCGTACGACTCACAATCAGAGTGACTCTAATATCACTGGAACGCGACGGTTCAGCTATCGGGTGCTCGTGCGACAGACGCATCTGGTTTAAAGAGCCTCTTGCGATTACGCAGCAACGAGATAACGTCTGTAATGATGTGATATAACGCCGTGTCTCGGTGGCACGAGCTCTGGCCCGCGTTTCATTCCGCCGATTACAGGGCCACTCGAAAGTCGCGTGGACTACTCGTATCTCCTTGTACGAGAAGCACACGCGTCTGTTCGATATACCTCCGAATTCCGATATGTATCCCCGATGATGAAATACACAATGAATACATAAAAACAGTAAACACATCTACGTACATACATACATATATCTTTAGGTAAGTCTGACGAAAGTTGGCTCAAAACCGTGATGTATTTCCCCATTTCTCTATTTTTCATATTTCATTAAATTTATCACTTTTTTAACATATTTCTTGTTGTAAAGCTTATCTAAATCCATGTTATTTTTTTAAGATTACTTCTTTTTTTTCTTCTTTTTTTAACTCACATAAGAAAGATTTCTGAAAGGGGTATAAAAATGACAAAGGTTTTTCATGTCACTTATAAGAAAACTTATATTTTTTTTCTAAACAATCGACAATTTTTAATGTTTCTTTAATTTATGACAATTAAAAATTTTTTTTTTAGAGGAAAGATAAACTGCATTTCTCTAAAAAAGATTTTTGAAAAAGGATTATAAATTTTTTATAATATTTTAAAAGAAATCTTTTGTTTTTTTTTTCAATGAACAATTTTTATAACAATTTTTATAACATTTTTTATAACAATTTTTATAACATTTTCAGTTTATGACAATTAAAAATAATTTTCTAGAAGAAAGAGAGACTGCTTTTGTCAATTGAAAAAGATTTCCGAGAAGGGTTCAAGAAATACACGCGCACAATAGGATAGTTTTTTAAAAGTCGAAACCAAATAAATTCCCCAGAGGGAACTTCCATTCATCAGAAATATATAATTTGTTTTCAACGGATTTTCTTTAATAAGTTTTCGTATTCAAGAAAGATCTATCTGTCAATTGTCACTTTTGTTACACTTTTGTTATTTTTCGATTTTATTTTATTATTGTATTCATTGTTAAGATGACCAAAGATAAAATAGACTGTGTCGCACAGAAGCTAAAATAGTACTTAAAAAGAAGAAAGACATTAATATATATTCCAAAGCGCGGAAGCTGTGCAAATGTACAAATATCGTGCTGTAGAATATAAATTGTATGATTGTGAAATTCGCAAGATCTAGTGCGAGAGAGGAAGAGAAAAGAAGCACGTGGTGGGCACGTGGTGAACTACGAATAGCGGCACGCCGGAAGAGACACGTACGAAGAGACAGACACCTTCGTCGCTATTGTCGCGACTAGACCGCCCTGGTGAAGATAAACATGTGTCTCAACGTTTTTTTGTTCAAAACGCCGATCATCCGCTTGTGATTCGTTAGCTCGTTAAAATCACGATCGATGGTCACCCTGCGTCGACCAGCAGAAACTTTAGGTGGTCCAAAGTCACGTAATGAGATATTCACGTATAACCTTACAAAAGTAAATTGTCTTCCGCAAAAGAAACGCCAGGAAATGCGATTTTTTTAGAAAAAGCGATTCCCCGAAATAACACGCAACGATCATTTTTATTGGGAACAGATGTACAAGAAAATACAAAAAAAATCGCGTAAATTTAAAAAAATATTTAAAAAATAAAATACAAAATAAGTGAAAAAATACTCTGTATTAATAAATTGTATATGTACTGAAATATAATAAACTAAATAAACTATATAATATAAATGATTCTTAAAAAATATCAACTTCGCGTAAAATCCGTTAGTATCGATGATCTTTTTATTGTATTACATCATAACTTTTATTATATTGTAATAGAAGAAATTTTTACAATATATTTTTCCAAAAATCTATTCCTAAGATATAACTAGAAATGTATAGTTCGAAAAACATTCGACATTATTTATTACATCGTGCCACGTGCCTGAGGAAGACTAATCGAAGGAATTTCGCAAATGTCAGCGCTTTGTTGTGTGAAAGTCGTGTGTGACTAATCGTAAATAGCTTCTAAGTTACGAACGTTCATAAGTGGCTACAAATCTCTCCGTGATCGCTCGATCTTCCTTCCTTCTTTCCGTCCTTCCGGTTTTTACGCCCACGCGATGCCGATATAACATGAAAGCATAGTGCGTGATATCACGCCCGTTCGCATTATCTACTTAAAACCACGCAAAATTCTACGTACGTTTATCACGATTATTTCGACCTCGAGTCCCCAGTCTGAGAAGAAATTGTTCAATAGTTTCCGGCGAGACATTCCGAAAGCTTCTGTCGATAAGAAAACGGGATGCGACAAAGCGACTAGTCCTTCTGACTAATATTATAATACGTTAAAATGATGACGTTAAAAGACGAAAAATTTCTAACTATTATAACGCCTATTGATTGAGACGATAAAGGCAAGTCGTAAAGGCATGTTGTGGTGCATCACCTTGTGCGACAAACACCTTCTGCGAGACTAATCGCATTGTCGTCATTTCGGAATGCCCGTCTGTCTAGTTAAGAAAACGATGCTATCGCACACACCATTAAGAAAATTTCAGAAATAAGCGTCAGACCAAATTTTGGAAACGGTGGAAAAAAGAAGATTGATACTGAGACTAAATGTCCACGATATCAATTCCTTAGGTAAAAACGAATCCCGTTAGATGAAAAAGGTTTTGGAATATTGTAACGTTCAGAAAAACATGTTGCTAAATCATTCCCGACAAAATTTAATATTGTAATTTGAAAGAGAACAAGGCGTTGTAACATTATTTGTATAAAAACGTAAATCAATCGCAGTCAAGCAGTAAAGCAATAATGTAAATAGTTGCAAATAAAAAGTGTTGATTTATTTAAGAATCAAATTTAATTTTAAATATTCTAAAAATTTTATATTTTTTACGACTCTCTTAATAAATCATCTTATTGTTAGTAATCGCAAAATATATATTCTTTTTAATCTTAAGTTAAATATTATAATAATTTACTTTATTTATTTTTTTTTAGTAGTAGGTTAATTAAGTATTATAAAAAAATAAATATATTAATTTATTTTACTAATATAATAAAAACAAAATTAGAACAGAAATCTTTTACTTTCATTATTTTACTTTCATTTTTATGCTTTTTTTTTCAGACATCTCACCTTATCGGCTAAATTTTCGGAAAGAGTATAACTCTTATTACTCTAAGCACGAAATGCAATTTATAAAATTCCTTAGGCTCTAACTTCCAAGAATTTGATGAATGAAAATGAAAAAGCATGTAAGGGTCACCTGGAACCACTTAACTTCCACTGCGCAGAACTTAATGTGTCAGAATACCTGCGTTAAATACTATATTATAATGGAAAATGATCCGACAAGTCGTTAAAAACGATTAATGGTTTCCATATGTCAGGTAAAAAAAAAAACTTTAGGTAGATAGGTATAGTATAGAGACTACAGCATAAGGAGCTCGATGACTATGTAAAAATGTAAATTTTTATGTAAACATTTTCAAAAAGAAAATATAAAAAAATAATTTTCTCTTGAAATAAAAGGTACACAACGAATATCTTTTTCCATTCTCAAGATCTAGTAGTCTATAGAAATTTTATCCGGAAAGAATTTTAGATCGTATTCCCTCATGTCCTTGGCCACTATAACACGGCGATAAGGGATAGTGCTCTTGTATTGTTTTTTTTTTTTTTGCGAAATCCATTGTTTCGTAACGGTATCGTACCGCGATGGCTTCGAGAGTGTCGGCGTGGCGCCTGACTGGGCCTCCGGTTGCAGACAGGGGGGGAGTGGTCGGCATCTCTTCGATGCACCCCTCACGGGCGCCGAAAGAAGAAGAGGTCTCAAGGAAAATATCTCGTCTTGCTTGTCTCCAAGTGAGGACACGGGCGCCACGATCCCATGCCACTCAGACGCGTCATATAAACGCGCGCGGAAACGTGAATAATTATTATTACGAATACTGAATTTTCGTACCTCCAATTACGGTTTTATTGACGATTTATCTAGATCTATTATATTGAATTTCGAGTTTTTTTTTTTGTTTTATCTCCCGTGGACTGAAGGAACAAGAATTTGAGAGATTGTTATAATTTCGCGCCATGATAAAATTTGTCATTGTGTATTTTATCGTTTGATTTAATTTGCGACATTTAAGTTCGAACTATTTTTTAATTGTTATCTTATTTACTTTTAGCGAAGGACTTACAAATAATATAAAAAATATAAGAAATAGTATAAAAAATAGTATATAATTTTGACATCTGCTTTAAAAAAGAAAGAAAAAACAACAAAATGAGGCACTCACCGACCAGACTTCGTTATTATCATTTCTGTGTTGTACTCGTGAAATTGTTGCCAAAGATTTCGATTAGCTAATTCCGCAGTGACACCGTGTAATAATGGAGGATTTGGTTGGCATAACCATCCGTTTGAACTCATCCTCTCATCTGCAAATTAATAGCATAATCAATTAGTTAATTGATAAAAAAAAGAATGTACAAAATGCGGCGATATTAATCATCTAAAGATAATTCAGCGTTAAAAGTGCGATTTATTACCAAATCATGAATATTTTTGTAAGATATACAATATGTAATATATACAATAACGACAGCTAAAAACTTTCAAATAAAGAACGTTTTCTAATAATAAGAGACACAAGGATTTTCTTATTTAATAACAAGAGACACAAATGATACACTGTGACACAATGAATCATTACATACATGTTATATGTTTGTTTTGTTAAATTTATTGTAATAAAGGTGAAATGATCACTGTATCATTTGTTGGAAAGTTCCCGCAATCCAAGTTTAATATTTCATGTGTTATATAATATAACAAAGATTTCGAATTTGTTGATTGGCTGCAAGACAGAAAAATCCAAGAATCTCTCTATCCTAGGTTTGAAAAACTTGTCGTATGACAAAAATAGATAAAAATGTGATATTAGTCTAACACAATAAATCATTTTATCTGTGTGTTTAATGAATAATAATAAGACTTTATATAATTTAATGAATAATTTAACTTTAATGAATAATAATAAGACTTTATATAATGATTTATTGTTATTTGTGTAATGTTCAAATATCTTTGCTGGAAAACGCTCAGAAAAAGGAAAGAAAAGGGAATATGACAATAATATACTGCAAATATTAAGACTGAGAGAATTCAATTTAATATAATGATGATCGCTCGCCACTATCTTACGCGATTCGAATTACCAATAGTGCGTAGGCAACATTTCTTTTGAAAAGACGACGCTATCTAACAATGAGGATGAGTAGGAAAAAATTAACGTGGGTGAGGTAACATAAATAGCGGAACAGCAGGGGCTACCCTTTACAACACCATCGTCGACCGCACTTGTAGCATTAAGTATGGACACGATTATCTGGGTACCCGTAAACCGCAGTAAAAAGCCATTCATAGTAGGTAGATAACGATTATTTGCCTGACCGAAGGTCGGTATCCTTTCATCTTTCACGAAATAATCAAGGCGCTCGCAGTGCCCAATGTGTGTCGCATTACATGGGATATTTGGTGATCGACATCGATACAGGGTGACCGAGAAGAACACGATATCTTCATTATAGTGCAAATCGATTGGGAGCGACCTTTCTCTTTTAAAAACACCGCAAATGGATGCTGGTCTCAGATTTTCACAGGCAAAATTCCAAAATTCGCATTGATCTCATGAAATATCAACTATCACTATATGAAAAATCATTTTCTCCGTAAAACAGATTCCCTTCTTGAAAATTCATAACTTAATCATCTTGCTTTTAAATTAAAAATAAATAAATAAATAATAATTGCGATAAACAATAACAATTTAATTTTATGAAGAAAAAATGAAGAAAAAGTGAAAATAAAAGATTGAATTGAGTGGGAAATTATAGTTGTAAATTATATATATCTTAGATATTTTTACGTATTATATCAATATATATTTCTAACAATTTATAACTTTTTAAAAATTTCTAAAAATGTATTATAACTTAATCGTCATGCTAAGAATTTTCGGTAAAACAATTTAATTTTTTCGATAATAAAATAATTCAAACCACAATATAAACAATTAATTTTGAAGAAAAAAAATGAGAAGAAAGTGAAGATGAAAGACTTAATCGAATGATTATAGTTAATTATATCAGAGAAAAGTTATATGTTATCTTTTACGATTTTATGTCACACTTTTATATTGAGTTGTCCGGAAAGTTTGTACCGATATTGAAGGAAAATTGAAACGCAGAAAATTTAAATTTTAGTATACATTTATTAAATTATTTAAGTTAGTTGGCACGAACTTTCCGGACAACTCAATATTTTACAATTACCTTGTATATACATATTACTTTATTTCGGTATTATTATAAAATTAGAATTATATTGAAATATCATATATGTATCTAAACGTGCTCATTTCATTTATCCGTTTTTTGTCATACAATAAATTTTTCGAGCCTGTTAATTGGTTATAGACAGAGAAATTATTATTTAAGAAGAAACTGTTTTGGAGCCAATTAATGATGCTTGAAAAATTTGTCGTACGACAAATGTAAGCCTAATTGTGTTAAAGATTCAAATTCCTAAATCGTAAACATAAACCATTAACCTTCACGGTCTCATCATATTATTGTTGATTATAGACAGTTGAATATAAGACAGACTGAAAGTTATTAGGAATAACAGTACATACCAAAGTTCCGCAGAACGATTGATGGGTGCTGCGTTAAGACTGGCGATCCCAGTAGCTGCAGTTGTAGGGGCACTGAATTGCTTATATCTTGAAGAAACATTTCTGGAGGATCGACGTTTTATCCCCTTTTCAATTGTCGATCTCCGAAGATATTGTGGAAATGCTCAGAACAAATTGTTGGATTCACGTGCACCCTTCTATACTTATGAAACAGACTGAGACGGCTACTTCGACTCTTTGGACTCTTGCCACGAAATCAGTGCAATAGTATACGGACCCAACTCCCAAAGTCCCAACTACATCACCGATTCGCGCGCTCGTTGGTCCAGCACGGCCGCCCTCAGACATTGTCGCACCGCCTACGCGAACTCGATTGGCTGCATCTCTATCTCAAGTGGGGGGGAGGCCAGGATGCGCCAAAAGTCGCATATGTGTGTCGCCTTTGCACATTGCTTCTCAGGCGACAAATATAACACTCGAAAGAGAGAGAGAAAAAAGGAGGAAGATATTACAAGGTAAGAAAGTATGTGAGATGCGTCATACAAGTTACATTTTTCTGATTTTTCGACGCCTATCTATGGCTATCTACTTAAAAGCTGCTAACTTTTCCCCAATAACATTTTCTTAGAGAAAAATCTATTAAAGTAAATAGATCTTTAAACATCTCTAAATATTTAATCTTTTAAATATTTTATTTTAAATATTTTAATTCCTTTTCTAAATGTATCGCTCTATTTAATCCTTCGATGTCTCTTTCGCATGATATACATATCCAATTCTTTCTTTAGATGCTGTGATTTTTTTTTTTATTAATAAAGATTAATATAATACGTTTCACCTTGATACCATATTATATTCCTTAGATCTGATTGAAAAAAGAATTTGTTATATGTTTTTATGCAATAATTTTTATATAGAACTCAGTATGTTGTATATGTCACAAAATGTATAATGTGACGAAGAGTTAATATGTGGAT